CACTGAAATCTGACAAGACAGACAGAAAATCCATTATCACAGATGTTGAGAATATCATTAATGACTTTTACTAGTGCTTTTTCAATACTTTGATGAGCTCTCAAACCTGTAAGTAATAACACAGTTGAGTAGCAACTATTTTCTCAAGAAGTTTTTATAGAAAAGAATGATTAGATATGTCTATAACTAATCATGTCATTTGGATTAAGTAAAGGATTCTTAAATAAATAAACCTCTGACCCAGAGAGCAGGAGAAGTGATAAGATTGAGGAAAAAAAGAGAAAGGCATCAGGGAGACAGAGAAGGAAGCGAAAATAGGGCTAAAGCTAGTGCTAAGCTAGTGACACCTACAACTAGAAATACAAAAAAAAAAAAAAACATGTGACGTTGAAGAGTTTGCAGTACAAAAATGAAGCAGTAATGTGTTTAAACGGGCTCATAAACAGTTATTGTAACTCGGATATATCACAGAAAATGGAGACTGAACACCACACTAAACAGATCTGCTGGCCTGACCAACTACACTGACTTTCATCTTCTGTGTGGTTTTGCTTACCACATGGATTTACACAAGGTATACATCAGACTCAAGACTCTGGGGTTTAAAACAGATGGGACTAATCACAATACAGGAGGCAGGCCTATAATGCAACAGCACTTTTCTGTAACTATAACAGTGTAGACTGCAGTTGCAACGGAGCAATATTTTCCTGATGCCCTTTATTATATCCTGAAAATGGAACTGGCTGCTGTAAAAGCTTTTCTTAAAAATAAAAAAAAAGTTTTTGCATTACATATGTAGTTATCTGATTGGATCTAAACTGTTTGCATTGATAGTCTTGATTATTTTACTTGTGCAGAGCAAAGGAATCATGTTCGGCTTAAAATAAAATATCAATACTAGAATAGCTCTCTCAATCATCTATTATCAGCCTTTTAAAATTCTGAGGACATGGTTAGGAGATTACAGATAAAGCAGGTTGTTAGCAATATCAAGATTTAAAAAACATTTACTAGAAAGAATAAGATTAAATCGCATGTCAGCCACCAGAACAAATGCCTTCTTAAGAAGTTTCCTTAAAGAGGTCATAGACTGATTATATAAGGTATTTGGTGCTGGTCCTTAAGGTTTCTGAATAGGGCGTGTAACATTGGTTGGGCTGAAAATGGCACATTTGCTGTTCTATGAGGCCTAATGCAAGCCTGGTTAAAAGCCCTAGAATGAAACAACAGGTTTTCTTTTTTTTGTGGTATGCTCATGAATATTTAGATGAGCTGTGCACTGTTTGGTTGGTTTACAATGAGCAAAGCTACTGAGCAGATATGCCTCATAGCAACAAGCACTCACTGACTGAAACATAGAAATTGTTGATATGCTAGGGTGACCAGACGTCTTTCTTTTTCCAGACATGTCCTACTTTTCATAGCTAAAAAAATGCCCGGGAGAATTTCAAAATTGTCAGGGATTTTGGTCGACTACAGTGCAGCACGTAGTCAAACCACACCGGGCATTTGAACCGAGCCGTCAGCTCCGGGAACCCCGGCGGACAGGGGCAGGGAGCCAGTGTGGGACGGAGTGACCTAACCCGACTCTGTGACGGTAGCCTGGACACAGGCGGCCCAGGCTTTTATGGTAGAATTGTGAGATTTGCAGAGAGGGGAGGTCAATGGGGTTTAAGATTTCCTTGGAGCTTGTCTGCCTGGCTTACCTTTGGAGCTACTTAACAGTTACCTTTTGTACATCTACTTCCGTTTCCTTGAATCTGATTCAGCCTCGGAAGATGGCCTCTGACCCAAAGCCTGGTCTCTTCCTGCTAAAAGGGAGTTTTTCTTCTTCACTGCCGCTACGTGCATGCTCAATGTGAGGGATTGCTAAAGAGTCAACAACAAAATGCAAGCGAAAATCATTTGCACAAGCTCATCCAGGAGGTGCATGTCTTGCAAATTAATGACTGGATGCAGTCAACTGGTTTTCCTAACCAATCTGACAGCATTATCTCTGGACATTTCCTGGAGGTGACATCCGCTGTGAATTGATGCTATATACCGTAATTAAACTGAATCGATTCGAATTAAGATGCCTGTAAGGCAACTTACACTTTATTTTGTTTTTTTCTGAAGACCCATCCAGGAGTCCATGTGAATTGTGTTCTCTGTGCTCTCTGGCGCCTGGATAGGTGAAATGTCTTTGGAAAATATTGTGTGAAAGTTCTGTTGCTTTCAAATTTAAGAATGTTCCTTTAAGATTTTCAATAGGTTCATTGTTGAATACGTTTCAATGAGTCAGTTTAAAGCTAACTCACTACTCTTTCCAATTTTGTCCATGCCCTAATCTGTAGACTTATCAGTCATATAAGTCATCTTCATATCAGTAATCTTAATCAAAATTATATTTACTGTCAAAAACTTGATGCATGTCAGTACTTATTAGTATGTGCTTTTATCTTTTGCTTTTTTTAAGCAGACAGATGAGGGCAAGAGCTAATGCCTCTAATGCAGTTGTGGCAGATACAGAAAAATTGGGAGGATAACTGTGATTTTAGACTCTACATTTTCTGAAGTCACCCCTGCAGAGAATGTTGCTCTGATCACACCGGACACATTTTACTCGTAAAGCAACAGCCTGGGGTGTACTTTCATTCTTCTTGCAGGAGAAGGGGAGCCATTCTCTCTCTAAGAGAACTTAGATTTGGCTCCTTAAAGTCAATTATTTTTCTAATTTGTTTACTTTTGCATATAAGCATATTATTTATCACAGCAAAAACTAAGTGAGTATGTGTGGATAGCAATAAAGCAGCCAAGACCTACTTCCTTTTTTCCCCTGAACACAATTCTCTTTTACTCAGTAAATGGTTGCAGTAGTAGACAATTGGAACCATATGTCTCTTTGCAACACTAAACTCTGTATAAATGGCACTGCAAAGTTGCAAGTCATATATTTTTGCTATATTTTCAAGCTGCATTTACATTTTGAAAAATTACCAAATCTGGCCCAAATCACTCTTTTCAGAAAGCATCCAAGTTTTCGGGTCACATCTCTTGCAATATGCAATTTTTTGGAGTGTGCCACACCCTTTTGTCATATAACTAACTTGTGAAATGGCTTACAACAACTCAGAGATTTGCTGTCTTCTGCTGCCAGCCCATTTGTGTCCGTGTAGAAAAAGGATTAACAAGCACAGCTGGGACAAACACAGCATGCCAACTACTCCACACTCATTTAAAAAAAAAGGGCTTCCTGTGCTCTTTCCTGCAAAGCAAGCACAAACAAAGTGTCTGTGTGTGCAGGATGTATGTGATCATCTGAGGACAAGGATGCAATCATCAGCTCACATCTGCAGTCAATGGTGGGAGACAGTTTTTGAAAATCACTGCAATCATTTGAATGTAGATGCAAAACATCGAATCTGGTTCCATCAATATCTAAATTCTACACCTAAATACAATTTTAACCCACCCATGGCTTACTTCCAGCAAAGACTCTTTCTCTCACCAAACCCAAGAAACTGGGTCCCAGTTCTGTAACAAATAGCCACAGTAAGCAATACATTTAAAAGACTATTACTTCACAAGGAAAGACGTAGTCATATGACTGCCATTCAATGCGGGGCTCTGTACATTTGGCTGTGGGTCGTTAATCTTCAATCTACTCTTGCCAGACTGCCTGTTACCATGGCTCCTTTCCAAAAGTTCCCAATGCTACAGTGAGTCAGAGGGTGTGAGGAAGAAGGCAACACCCCAATAAAAATACAGCGGGATCTTACTATGAAGCATATGTTTCCACATAATTTTCACTGACCTGGCATCAAATGAATAAATTCTTTAACATAATACAGAAAGAGGTGATTTAATAACATTTGGGTGCACATAGGGATATAGATGAGCTGGCCTGTGAGAGAAATTTCAATGAGTGAATAAAAAAGAGTGGCTACTCTTCTGCTGCTTGCCAAAAGACAACTTAGAAGTGAGTTCACATCTACTATGTCAGCTTACTGGGCGGCTAAAAAAGTGTTAAATGTCACCCAGCCTATTTAACAGAACAAAGTCTGTCTTTCCCTGTTTTTGCCCAAAGAAAAGCAGTAGAGGTCAATGGTTTTGCATCTGAGAGTTGCACTGCCATATCAAGAAGTTATTCTGCATAAAAGCACAATTTAGGAATTCTAACAGACTATTCTGAGAGTTGTTTAGAGCAATGTTATAGATTTGGCTCAGGGTTCATTTATTCTCTCCAATTTCACTATAACAAACCTAAATATTGCAATTTTATCCCTTACAAACTACCCCATAAACTAAATATGTTTTTACCAATATAATTTCTATGGCATTCATGGAAATAGTCAGAAAACCATAGAAATTTAAAATTGTTTTTCTTAATATCTTAATTGAAAGATTAGAATTAATAGAATGCTTCCCAGCTGCAAAATTTTCTTTGCAAGTTGTCTCCAAAACTAAAAAATCTGACATATCAAAGAACCAAAGCAGAGCAGCCATATGTTGAGTAAATTGTACTAAATTGATTGCTTTACTATAGAGAGTAAAAATGTGGGGAAATTAAGATGCATAAAAAGGTGCTTTGCTCTATAGCATTTCAGTAACTAAAAACGCCAATTTTGTATAGCCCAGTATCACTTTTAGGCAATTGTGACCCATTTAAGGTAAAGCATCTGCTAGTAGCAGTGAAATATTAATTCAGCAGAGGCCAGTAAGTTGAATGACAATCTAATTTATCTATCACCCACTGGGGACTATGGTGGTCTGTTTGCAGGTCAGGGATTCAATGCAAAAAAAGTCTGGGTGTGTTGCTTGCCCAAGGGACTAATCTGTTTTACATTTCTACAATGGCTATGTTGTTACACAGGCTTATACTGTGGGAACATACAAGACAGCTTCATTACATGATTCGTCATTCTAGACATTATTCCACAAACATATATCTGAATGAAATTGATCCAATTTAAAATAGTCATTGCATTGAAAAAAATATATCATAATAAACTCACCTGATACAAGAGGGGGGGTACTTGCTGTTGGAAGAGAGGAAGAAGTTAAAGGAGAGGAAGAACTTGTTTGACAGTATGCATTGCCAGCCAGGGTCAGGGAAATTATTGTGATATACAGCTGACCTATCATTTTCTCTCTTTGTTCCCCTAATATTTGAAAGTCAAAAAAGTTATTAAAAATATATTTTAAAAATTCTAGTTTCCCTAAAACTATTTGAAATATTTATCTATCTCTTTTTCTTTTTGTGCACTAGCTGCCTGCAGTGCTACTGGAAATTTGGGCTCCTCTAAGGTCCACACAAATGCCTTTTATTGTAACCTAGCATGGTAGAGACCACTCCTCCTCCCCTCAGCCCATCACCATGCATAGCTCTTCACTGGCTCCCTTTTTCATGTGAAAAGGGAGCCCCCTGGGAGAAACAGAGGAAGACATTGGAAAGTTAACCAGCTGGCAATGAGCCAACTGGCATGCAAAATAATGAACCTTAAGAAACTCCTGTATGTAAAAACTATTAGGTCATTATGAAATGCAACAACGGAGGCTTAGTAAGGCTTACTGTGAGGGCTTACCGTATGAAGAAAAAAAAAAAAAAACTATCAACCTTTTCCTGATCTTTAATGCATTTTTTATCAGCTTATTTATTAACTTAGTATTTATTAACCCTTTACTTCATTTTAAATGAAATTATCAGAATTTGTAGTTGATTGCACTTATACATGTTTTTTGTTATTGAGAGCTCCAGTCAGATGAACTGTGTGAACAAAGTTTTAATAACATTAATAACAGTAATAATTAACATGTTAAAGTTAAACCAGTACTTTAAAGTGGTACAGTAGCAAGTTTTTCACTTCATGCTTAAACACCCCTGCATATCCTCACACTTTTTTGCATGAAGGCACAAAACAATATTTTCACTCTTTGTAGTTTGGTGATTGTCACCCATTTCTGTCACACGATTAGGTCAAGCCATCCTTTAATCTGTGACTGTAATGAACACCTATGTTTTGATTAAAGCTTTTTTTTTTTTTTGGAAAACAGTAAATTTTCTATGTGCAACATAAATAATCTGTCACTGCATTCAAATGACATAATGTATTATAACCCATACAGTATATACTGTAGCTCTCACAATTTTCAAGAGAGATGACAAAACTACCACTAAAACGACTTATCTGCTTGGAAAAGCAATAAAAAAGTCTATTTGGGGTTCATTTATTCTTTTAGACATTTAGAGGTTTTGTGGCTTTTGAACAAAAACGGCCCTAAATTTGAAGTGTCCACAGGTTGGATGCAAAAGTATAACAACTCACCGATGATTTAAATAAAAAGATGTAATTAGAATTTTTTTTGACTTTATAATATTAAAATGTCTCGTGTCTCGTCTGACAGCAAAGTGGAAAACTTTATTTTCGTGCAAAGGTGGGTGAATGAAGGTGATTCTCTTTCTCATTTTGTTTGGTCTGACTATTAAAAAGTAGTATTTTATGCAAATGATACGGCGTATTAACATCAGTAAAATGACAAAAACTTTTCTAAAGGCAATTCTAGAAGTTCTACTTTTGTCTTGAAATATTTAATTTCTATTTAATTGATTTAATTCATTTATTCCTCTGTCTTTACTGCTGTCATTGTTATTGGTCAACAGTGGTGTAGGATGAAGGAGTGTGTCGTGCAACTGGGCGATCGCCGCTTCAAACCCCAGGTCTGTATGTCTCAGTCTTTATGTCCTTGGACAAGAGACATCATGCAGCTGATTTATCTTGCTTTTATACAGGTACCATCGATACCTCCTGCCACCACCAGTAATGCCAGGAGGTCCCGAAGGTGCCTATATACAGGAGCCTTGGTCCCCTGACTTTAAAAGGCGCTAATTAGGTACAGGTCATTTATTCACGAACATCTGGGACCACTAATATATTAACAGAAGAAAGTCAAAATCTGCAATCCCCACATTGATCATAAATTATGTGACCTTGTTTCTCTTTGTCTCCTCTGATTCTGACAAGCATACAACCCCCAACTGCTCAAACAAGACAGCTATGGGAAGGTAGACCACTGACTTTCAAACAGGCATGGGGTTAGGGCTTGTGCGGTCTTGGGTAAACACTATCAGTGTATGAAGTGGTCTCAGATAGAGGGCAAAGTTAAAAAAAAAATGAAAAGGCACTAAACCATATTGGAGCTATTACAGCTCCATACTGAAGTATTTAAAACTGAGAGAAACTAAAGTGTTTTCTTTTTCTTGTCTTTCCCCCTGCTACATCTGTCACTAGTTTGGCCCAAGACCAGATGAGTATATGACTCAGAGTGGGCCCTTATACATTCTCCATAAACATTAGGTCCCAACTCTTGTTAAATCTTCAAACTTCAGGTATGGAGTTAAGACTGAAGGGACCAGTCAAAGTAAAAACAGAATATGATAACTACATATCCAGTACACAAGGCCGAACAATGTTCCTGCATGACTCAGGTGAAAGAAGGCTTGACTTCACCTATAAAATCTTGAGCATAAAACACAGCTGACATCACCTACTAAACCAAAGCAGTCTCGCCTTATTCACCTTTTTGCATCTAATGGTAAGAAAATTGTTAAAATGGCTGTTTTTTCGACTGACCACTGATTAGACCATAAGTAACTTAGGTGAGAAGAATTGCGCCCTTGTTTTTAAAGAAAAATTGGCTTGTCAAACGAACAAACACTGTTTAGATTGTTCGGGCATATAACATACTGTAGAAGGAGCATCAACAAAATATATCAGGCACAGCAGAGATTGCTTGCCAATCAACAGATATCTATTTTGTACATAACAAGCAAAACAATAAGTTGTTTGGCAAAAGAGTATTACACTGTAGCCTACTCAATTCCTTGGAGAAACTACATAGTATGTCGTGGCTCAGAACAGAGCACCCAGTATGTAACCTCTTTAAACCCACCGGGTCCCTAGCGACCCGGTGGACTTTAAGTGGTGTTAATAATGTTTACCAGCAGGTGGCGCCATTGCACGCAGCTCCAAGTTGACAGCAAAAGTTCCATACCCCACAGCTCTGGAACTGTTATAGCTAGAGGTCTGAAATTTTCTGCATTTCTGGTCGACATATAATACAATAAAACCTGCATTTTCTCAACAATGTCTTTATTCAAAAAACACCTATCATTTCTGAGAATAAAAAAAACAAAACAACTTTAAGTCATGCTTGTACTGATGCAGGTTGCTCTGTGTTCTGGTCACTCAATTTTATATATTTATATATTAGGAAACTAGAGCGTGTTAGCTTTCAAACAATGTATTGCACATGTAATTTGGGCTTACAGTTCTTAAGTGATTTGCTTTTCCATTTGGGTATGCAAAATAGGTGAGGATTACCCAAAATGAGGTGGATGTTAAGAGGTTAAGGCAAGACAGGCAGTGGGATAATTCAAAAATGTTTATCTAAAACGTTGAATCTGCAGTTACATCAGCTAGAGTGGCTAAGGCAGGAACCTCAGCAAGAGAGAAACAAAGATTAATGACCACGATAATCGGACAGAGGATAATTATGTACGCATGAGTCACTTTTTTTTATCAAATCAAAATGTAAAATATTTAGAAATATATTGTAACATACATTTTTTTGATGTGCAAGATAAATACTTAATCTTTAATGATGAGTAAAGCATCATTTCATTTTTGGATGGATGCAGTTTAATACAATGCAGTGGAATGCTCTGATCTTCTTTATATTGAAGAAACCAAACAATCTCTGCACAGACACATGGCCCAACACAGAAGAGCGACCTCCTTGGGAAAACACACACGGTACATCTACACCCTATGGACAAAGGACATTCTTTTGAGGAGCAGAATGTTCACATTTTTGGACAAAGAAAATAAGTGGTTTGAGAGGGGTGTGAAGGAAGCCGTCTATACTACGAAAGAAAAACAAATCTTAAACACAGAGGGTGGACTTAATTTCAAAAATATTCAATGCAGCAACTGACCCCCTTTCCCTCACCCTTACAGGGGAACAAAAGACCTTGCCTGTTCAGTCAGGCCACCAATTCCCTTGAATGACCCCCCTGTCATAGACATAGACAGGTATGGGGTATTGTAGGCTAACAAAAAGCCAAACGACCTCCATACCAAAGGGGAGGACACATTAGTCCAGTTCAATTTGAATGTTTTCTAAGCCAAAACAAGGCTTTGTTTTTGGTTCACTCTATAAAGCCTCGAACTCAACAATATTTCTGAAAGTAAGTATTAATTCTAAAATATCTCAGTTTCCTGAAACTTTATGACGTCTCAGTCGAAGCACAAATCACTGAAGTGATAAACAGGTTTAGTACATTGAGTTTAAATTCCAAATAGATCAGAAAACAAAGACAAGGCTAGCAACAAGAAGTAGTCATAATAAAAAGTATTCATGTTGAGCTACTGTCAAAAAGTTACAACTCTTCATGTACTGTACTGTGCTCTTAGTAATATCCAAATCAAGAAAACAGAAAGACATTTATCCAGATTAACAAAAGGACTGAACACATATAAACACATGCAGGAGAGGGAAAAGAAAAGATTCAAATAAAAAAAGGGAAGTTTACTTTGGCTTTTTCATAAATGTTTGGTGTGAAGTAAATCTGAAGAAGATCTGAAGCAGATCTGAAGTACCGATATTTACTCTTTAGGTCTGTTTTGATAAGGCCATGTCTCAAGGCCAAGAGCACTCAAAGAGCTTTTCGGTTGGCTAAGTTCCCACCCTTCCAAAGGGTGCTATAAAGGATATAGCATCTGAAAAGTGATTGGGACCCTTTATTTATAAACTTCTCGTTCCCAGTGGACACAAAGAGGTAAAAACTGAGAGACCACAAGTCCTATTCTCATGAACACACATTTTAACCACTGCCAAAAATGCACTAATAATTATAGGAAACAGAACCACATGTAAATAAACTTAGAAACACATGTTAGGAGTGGAGGCACAATGAGGTTTGTTCCTTGTAATCAGACATCAAACTCAAGAAATATGACTTCTTATAATCTTAGGGAAAGGAGAAACCCAACTGGTATGTTGCAGACTTATCATGATTGTCATATTATTCATATAAAAGCAGTAAAACAGCATTTGTTTTATCTTACGGTATTTAAAAAATGAAATGTTTTGCCATTGGATTGAAAGAGCCCAAGTCCATAAACTTTGAGAAAATTTCAACCATTTTAGAGCTGAGAAACAAAAAAACACACAATAAAAAAAGGAGAAAGCTTAAATCTTTACCATAATTTCCAGTAATTTCTTTTTCAATAAACAACAAACAGCA